CTACCATTTGTTTCGATCGATGCAGAACGCTTTGACTGGAATACACTTCACTTCAGAACAGGGTATCAAAAATTGACGCGATTCATTCTTGGCTTCAAAAGATGAACGCTTCTTCCGCGACGGAATCCATAAATTGCCAGAAAGATGGGAAAAAGTAGTGGCTAGCGATGGACAATACTTTCAATAATGTATTAATTCATTTTATCATTCAAATAAATGCGTTTTTCAAGCAAAAAAACGGACCGAATTAAGTTGTACACCCAATAAATTTGGCAGGAATTTTACTGGCCGATGTGTAAGGGCTCGAACAGATGGGCCACTTTGTGGCGTCACAGAGAAGCGCCACAGAGAAGCGTCACAGACCTGTATAGACGGGCTACTTTTGTGGTGCTACAGAGAAGCGTTACAGACCCCGTATAGACGGGCCACTTTGTGGCACCACAGAGAAGCGCGACATACCAGGGAGGCGTGGGAGGTGGTAGACGGGGATTTCCGTGCACACAGTGATAGATATAGGTGTCAAAAGCGCAACGGCACATGTGAACTGTAACGATACAGGGTGTCCAAAAAGATGCGAAACATACCCACACGGGTCAATCTCATATGTCCAAATATCCATATGTGCGAATGCTAAAAGAAATGGCCTTGTAGTAATAATGGAAATTATCTAGTTATGAGAAATTTGTTAAGATAAATGAGTGATTAGTAAACACTACGATATCGCATATATTTTGTAATTAATCAATTATAAATGACAGAGACAGAATTTCTATCTAAACTATTTTCGATTTTAGCAATCATAAAAAGAAAATATTGATTTGAGAAAATTATCTTTCTCAGATTAAAGACTGTTACACTTTTTATAAAAATTGACTGTGATAGACAAAAAGACTAGCGATCAGAGGTAAACGAATGTATAATTTTCACACCCACTAAATTTGCTTGCAAATATTGCTAAAATGTTATTGCTGTACATGTACATGCGCCTTTGCGCTTCTGACACCTATCTATCGCAATGTACACGTGATTTGAAAAAAAAATATACAGGGTGTATATATTTGATCGACCTTAATTAACTTAACTTCACAGGAATAATAAAAAATGCACTAAGCAGTAATAATCAAAAGTACACTAAGCACACAACTAATGAAACTGTCAAATAAGTGAAGAATTCCTGAGTCGAAATTTTGACTCATTAAACCTTGAATTCTACAAGGCAGTAAGAATCAAGTTAGCAAAGTAGGTTTAATTCTAATGATACAATTTGCTCCTATTTTTACTGTGATAATGTCCAAAATTTCCTTTTTCATTTTCTTTAACGTCAAAATATATACCGGCCACTACCGCATTATCTCTTAAAGGCTGATTCCTGAGGTAATTTGAGTAAAAAAATCCTAATGCAAAAATGTCGAAGCTATAATACTTTTTAAATTATAAACGGTTAAAGTTGATAAATTATCAACTAAACACTTTGACACATTAATTAAACTGATGTTTTTTCTCCATGTGACATTCATATTTATTATATAGAATGACAAAAACAAATACGAGAAAAATATGAAAAAAAAATTCACTGAAGATTCACTCGAAATGATATTATATATCATGTAAAATCTAACATGAGAATATCTTTTAGTAAATTTATCATTGCATCACTATAACCCAAAATTTACATTGTATGATGTATATTTAATGATTAATTCTACACAGTATATTTGCTTTATAAACATAGTTAAATAAATAAAAAATGCATTCCCCAAAAACATAATCAAGTAATTAATAAAATTGTAAAGTTTCCGTTCTAATCTCGCGTTCTAATAATTACGAAAGTTTGCCTGGGTTCTTAAGTTGCTATTGATTGAGAGACTTAAGTTTCTTTGCAATTTTTCCTGTAGTAAGTTTTGATGAGTCAACTTTCACTACTGCAGCAACATCAGCATATTTTAAACCAAAAGATTGTCCAGAGCGAAGCTCATCATCGAGATTCAAATTCGCGTCTTTAAATTGTTTTAACCAACCCTGACATTTTTTAACATTTACACTACAAATATTGCTTGCCGCCGTAACTGCGGTAGTATCTATTAATATTACGCCCCTTAAATGTTCTTCCAAAAATCTTATTTTGATCGACCTTAATTAACTTAACTTCACAGGAATAATAAAAAATATACTAAGCAGTAATAATCAAAAGTACACTAAGCACACAACTAATAAAACTGTCATATAAGTGAAGAATTCTCGAGGCGAAATTTTGACTCGTTAAACTTTGAATTCTACAACGTAGTAAGAATCAAGTTAGCAAAGTAGGTTTAATTCTAATGATACAATTTGCTCCTATTTTTACTGTGACGATGTCCGAAATTTCCCTTTTCATTTTCTTTAACGTCAAAATAGGTTGTATTATTGACTTCAAAATACCAAAATAGACGCTGAATGGAATAGGGTAAACTCGGGTATTATGACTGTACGGAAAAGATGGCCATAGACTGTAATTTCTCTAATAATTGCAAAACAGTGCGTTTGTATGATCAGTCACAAAGATAATCGATATTTATCACAGTGTATGTGCGTACATTTTTCGAAATAGCAAGATTATGAATATTATGTTATATTTTTCTTTTCGACGGCCTGTAAAATTTCTCATGTGTCCACTAAAACTTGCTGTAACGTCGAATAAATTACAGTTAAGCTATCGCAATCAACGTTAGATACGTGAAATAGATATGCAAATTGTAACATGCATTTTTATTTCCGTTTTCACTATTTGTCTATAAATACTATGGCCGTCTTTTACTCACATTTTGGGTAAGATAGCCTACTATCATTCTATGAACATTTATAAAACGAAAGTCGTTATGTTTCAAAAATTACTTTCAATATTACAGTAATTAAATCTTATGTGCAATATGTTTTGATCAAAAGATTGCATTTAGAATTTAAATTTTGTAATAGAAGTTTCTATTTTATATGTATATTATATTTTTCACAAATAATATGTATTAAATATATTAAAATATGTTAAATTATGTTTTTTTCATTATTTTATAAAATAATAGGTGCAGAAACTTGAACAGAAAATATGTATGAGTCATCTATTCCTTTATGGCCATCTTATCTGAAAAATTTAAGTAAGATGGCCAATGCTCATGTTTTGATATTTTTGTAATAAATAATTTTATTGAAATATTTTCCTTTAAACTCTGATGGTATTATGTACTGTAGGCTTCAGTGAAGTAATGTGCCAAACGCTATTAAAAAATAACAATAAGAAAAATATCTTTTTCGCATTTTAAAAAAGTATGGCCATCTTACCCGAGTTTATCCTAATGAGGCTGAAAGTAGGATAAAAATTTCGAGTACGAAAGCAGAATACTTAGAAAAGCTGACATTACTTACAACTCCATCCAATATTAAACGCAGACGTTCACGAATAACGATTTCCCATTTAGAGATCATCGAGTACTTCTCATTATGCGATCACATCGTTTTAATGGAGTCTCCCTTATTTCATTTCCCTGCTCGTTGAGGGACGTCGCCGAGACCGCAGTCGGCGTGAAATATTCAGACGTTAGACACGGCGAGTCCGGCGATTCGATCGCGCGACATTGCCCGGTAAATGAATTATCGAAATACCGCGTGGCCTCAAGAAGAATACGGTAAGATCGCGTAACTGTAATCCCACGAGGTCTCTCTCTGTATCTCTCTTTCACTCTTGCTGAGCCGTGCCCGCGATCGTCACACGGCCAATCGAGACGGCGCCGTGGAATCGTATACATCAGTCCGATTCGACATCGCGCATTTAATTTCGAAAGCACGTCCGCTTTCTGTTTGCACGCAAATACCGATTTAATTTTGCATCCTGTTTGCCACGCGTGTTTGCATGGCGTGGTGCGACTAGAAATGTCTAAATGAAAATTGCTCTTGCGCTGCACCTTCTACGGGCCCGCCCTGCCGCCGCTTCCGATGCAATCGCATCGTTATTGAAATCCCATATGCGAAATACCAAAATACACTTTTCCCTATGTGGCTTATCGCGATGTACATGCGTGTTGTGTGTATGTACGTGTATATGTGTATGTGTGTGCGCGCGCGTGTATATATATGTATATATAACATATGCAACTTTATTTTGGCTTTGATAACCCATGAGTGTCGTGCAATAAATAACAGAGATCGTCCCTCGTTCTCTCTCTCTCTCTCTCTCTCTCTCTTTTCCTCTCGCTGTCTCCCGTTCCGTGGGAATAGAAGAGAAAAAGAATAGAACGACGCAACGCTATTTCGGAGCTTACACGTCTCTCGTTTCGTTTGCGATAGAATATCGATTAGATTTTATACTCGATTTGCGCGTCACAGGACACTTGATGAATACAGAACCGCGCGCTCGCCTCGGTCCCTCTTTAATTCGTCCCATCTTCCGGCCACGCGTTTACCGCGGGGCGGCGAGCGGAGCGGAAACTTTACGTCGATTACCTTTTCAAAGCTTTAAACGAATTACAGGAATCACGTCGATGTAGTTACTAAATAACGGTACAATTAAATAATCTGGGCCGGCCCGGGAAAGAGATACGGGAGGGGCGGGGGCAGAGAAGGGGGAGGGGAGAGGATGTGAAAATTACTCGTCGTACGTACTGATAAACGGTAATTAGCGCGGCGCATTTACCGGATACATTTTCGCACAATTGCAAGCGCGACTGTTTAGTCGCGCGGTAATACCGAGGAGCTATTATCGAGCGCATTACGGTATATCGACGGCAAACACGATAAAATCACCGGCAATTATAATACTGTGTGTATGTGTGTGTGTGTGTGTCGCGCGTGCGCGCGCACGTACGCGTGCGTGTGTCTTTTGAAGCTTCAATTAACGTGCGCAAATTGCGAAGACGGCGGACGAAATAGTTGTCCGTTCAAAGGCTTCGCTCGCCCCTTTCGTATTAGTGTGAGTGAAAGTGACGTAATCTCTCTCATGCCGGAGCACCTCACGTACCGTGGAAACGAGCGACATGGTCATTACCGCAACGAGAGAAAAATCCTTTCGTCGCGTCGGTAAACTGAACATTCAAAGAGAATCGAGGAAGGGCGAGGGGTATAGGGTATAGGAAAAGAAATAGAGAGAGAGAGAGAGATAGAGGGGGGGATGAGAGGAAGAGAGTGGAGAGGACTCTTTACTTACAGGCGACCTCAACCGTAGCGGGTTGCCCTCGAATTTGACCTGGTCCCGACCAAGCCACGCACTCGCACTTGAATCTCTCCCTCCCGAAGTACTCCTCGACCTCGTTCCTCGTCACGTTCAACTCGACCTCGACGACCCTCGTTCCGGTACGAGGGTCAACGAAATCCTGCTGCTGCGAACGCTCGGCCCGCTCGCCGTTGCAGCGAAAATACACCTGCGGGAAAGAGCGGACAGTCGTCTGCAGGCGTTCACTTTCGCGTGTCGCCCAGGAAACAGGCTGTCTTCGTTAAGTGCCGGCTAAGTGGGTAATAAGAACGAGGAAAGGGTGAGCAGCCGTGCGGACGGCTCGGGAGAGACAGAGATGGAGGGAGGATTGAGAAAAAGATGGGGCCGGAAGTATTTTGTGCGAGAACCCTAACAAAGGATTGCGCAAGGTGCAACGATACTTTCGCGTTACTACATGTGTGTACACGGCGGGAATTTTACAGTTAGGATTATCAGAGAATTTTTGTAACTGAAAAAGGTGTAACAATCTGCCTCAACACATTGCGGATCGCATATATAATTGTAATATTTTATACAATTGAATGCAATTGAATGCAAAAATTTAATAAACAGAATTTACAGGGTAATAGAGTATTTCATCCCTCTAAAAAATCGATATTTCGGTCCTTAATGTTTCGAAAAATAAAAACGTCGATTTATGTTTTCGGTCCGCAATATGTTAATTTTATATATTATTGTTTCATTATTTATATTTCGGGGATTGAAGTGTGCTATTTAACTATTAAACTGTGTTTTCTAGTGAAATTTATCATGTTTCTTAGCAAGATAAAGTACATTAATAATTTATTCTCGTACTCATCGGAAAATATGATAAAACAAAAGATATTGATAAAGAGAATTGATGAAGATATTGATGAAGATATTGATGAAGATATTGATAAAGAGAATTGATGAAGATATTGATGAAGAATTGAGATAAAAAAAGAAGTTATATAATATATTTTATAATTAATATATATGTAAAATTTAATATGTTTCTTAGCAAGATAAAGTCTACTGCCAATGAATTCCTACATCACTAGAAAACATGATGAGATTCAAAACAATTTATATAAAAAGGAGTTATATATACGCCATAATTAATATAAAATTCACTTTCTACAGTTAATATAAAATTTACTGTGTTTCTTAGCAAGATAAAATCTATACTGACTGTTTATTTCTATATCACTGGAAAAAATAATAAAATTGAATAATAAAATTGAAAAGAATACCTCTGATGAAAATGTCTAATAACATTTTATCTAAACTGTTTTTGCACAAAGAAGAATTTCAGGACTCTTCAGAGCAAAAGAGGAAAAATGTAATTAGACATTTGATACTCTTTCTTACTCTTTTATTTCTGTCAAGGATCGAAGAAATCTATGATATCCTCGTATATAGAGGAGACCAGGGCTAGATACCCTGTATTTTAGAATTTCGAGGTTACAACTTCTCAGGCAACTATTAGGTTTGTTTGAGTTGCTTGTACTTTTCACACTTTTACACCTAATTCCCGTTGCACACTAGTGCACTCCAAACAACACAAATTTTCAAAAATACATTCTGAAGATGTTTTCAGGACGGAGGGACGTCATCAGAATATTCTTAGGACGTTCTTTGAAAGTGTGAATTGTCTGAAAATAGCTAATATCCAATAAGTTTATTCACATTAATTGAATTTTTTACACTTTCACACTTAGTGCACATTAATTCTTTAGAAGTTCTAAAAATGGCGTCATGTTTTCCGTTCGTGTTACAAGTGTAAATGCAATTCTGATACACTTTTCACTCTTGCTTGGGATCAAGTGTAAAAAGTGTATTAAAATTGCAATTACACTCGTAACACGAACGGAACTCATGACGTCATTTTTAGAACCTCTAAAGAATTAATGTGCACTAAGTGTGAAAGTGTAAAAAGTTCAATTAATGCAAATAAACTTATTGGATATTAGCTATTTTCAGACAGCTCACATCTTCAAAAGACGTCCTAAAAATATTCTGATGACATCCCTCCGTCCTAAAAGTATCTGTAGAACGTATTTTGGAAAATTTGTATTGTATAAGGTGCACTTGTATAGTGTACAACGGGCATTAGGTGTAAAAGTGTGAATAGTACAAGCAACTCAACAAACCTAATGTGACTAAAGGTCTTTGCACATAGAAAAATTTTAACCGTAACCGTAAGGTCGTAAGAAAACTGACCAATCAGAGTTGATTATTCTCCTTGCGTTCGAGGAATAATCGACTGTGATTGGTCAGTTTTCTTACGACCTTACGGTTACGGTTAAAATTTTTCTACATGCAAAGGCCCTTACTGTATAAACATAATAGAGGCAACCTTCTTCTACATATTAGTGCCCGCCACGATCTTTATATATTTTGTTTTGTAATAACCAAAACACGAACATGCAGCAACAGAGATTTTATTCTGGTAACGGGTTCAGTTGCCTAATAGCGCAAGGCAAGAAGACCACGTAAGAAGGCCATAAAATATGTATCTTGATTAATAGTTCCACAGTCTCCGCGAGAGGTCTCTACAGCCCTTCTATCGACTTAATTATAGACCAACTTTACCTCATCTGTCCATACTCTATTTCAATCATTTTATGTATGAACATTGCATTTATCGTCAGAAACAGCATATCATATACTTGCAAGAAATTTCATTCAATAATTTAATTTAATTTAATTTAATTTATTTTAATTTCCCAGACAACATAATGTTTAAAATCGGGACATAAGACGTATTAAAGATAGTTTTTAAGACGCCTTAAAGACATTTATATGTAAATCGTCTGAAAGATATCTTAAAGATGATCTTTAAGACGTCCTATGTCCCAATTTTAGATATTATGTCTGGGTTTATTCAGTAATGATAGAGAATATTAATACAAAATTTCGAGTGACTCGAAAATTGACTTTGCTATTACCAAATCAATTCTTTTTCCATTTCTTAACTGTAATATTATCCCGATTTTATTGAAACTCAGGGAAAAGTATTTGTTTTAAAACTACCATTTCGCAATCTTGTATCCACTATTTCCATCAAGATAGGTACTAAAAAGAGCACACGAGCAACATACTGGCGCTATATAGACCCGGTCTCCCCTATACAGCAAAGTGAGTATCGCGCGATACGATACGGTAAGGAAAGACGCGGCTGGAAACTGGGAACGAGAACTCAGTGCACACATATGCATACGCGCGCATGCAAGAAGAAAGTATCGAACAAAAAGGGGGTACGAATTGAAACTTATTTGCTACGAGCGGGCATACCTGAAGAGCATGTGCAGCGCGGCAATGCAGCGTCGCCGGTTTCCCTTTGACGACGAACGTGTCGACAGGCTCCGCCAAGAAAATCGGCAGAGAACGGCCGGCGATTAGATCGGTATCGCTGGTTATGGTCGCCGTCTCGTAGTCACCGTAATCGTAGTCCTCCACGGGATAATTCTCCTCGTCGTCCTCCTCGGCGTCGTCCTCTTCCTTCGTACCTGCGCAAGAGTAACGTGCCACAGCACGCTTATCCCTTTTCTCCGCAAGAAGAAATCGATAATTCCAGCGCGGCTCGACTCGCGGCTAATCCAATAGGCGTAATCCCTTCGCGGCATTTTGCTCATGTGCGTCCTTCAATTTTTCATATCGAATCGATCGAATTAAATTGTCTCGTGCCGACGGCGGCTAGTTTCCTGGTCCGTCGAAGGGATTAAGCCGCGTCGTTATCGCGATCAAGAGAAATGACAGCGAAAACGTGTTGTCCGATGGTGCATTATCGGATCCGATAACGCGCCTTAACCGACGATCCTTTCTCTTTCTCTCTCTTTCTTTCTCACCGCTGTTTCACTTAAAAATATATTTTGCCAGGCAAAGTTTTAAGTATCACAGATAGGATGTATCGCAGTTTCTTATACCTGCTAGAAAATTGTCCGTGATACATAGAATTTACAGCAGCAACATTTCAATATCCACAAGCAAAGAGCGCGGCCAAGATGCTCCCTAATTTTTTCGTATTCGATTCCCTAATTAATTTTATTACAAAACAAAAGATAATCACGAGTAGATTACAAATATATAAGTTCCAAATTGCACCCTTTCTCTGTGTTACTGTTCCCAAGAAAATGAACTCCAAGAGTTTCGATTCTAACAAATGGCGCCACCAAAAAAATTAAAGAATACAATTTATTACGTAAGTAACGTACCCTTTCGTTCAAAGTATCACTTATATCAAGAATCATATCATTCAAGTTCTCATTGGAAATGACAAAATCATGGCAATAGCCGTATCCGAAATACCAGATGATGCACATAACATAAAATGACAAAACAAACGATTGTACGAGCACCAGCTTCGTAAATTCAGTAGTATTCAACAATTGCTGCGAGAGGAAAAAAATAGTTTTATTGAAATCGAGCCTAGTGAGAAAGAAAAAAAGAAAACGTGTTAATGCAGTCAATGCCATTCTGCCGGATACTGACCAAGACAATTCATTAATTATTTTAATTTTTGGTAAAAAGGTATTCTCTTTAAAATTTATACATATATTACATTCTTATATGTTTGTAATCTACTCGTGATTATCTTTAGTTTTATAACAACATTATTTGGGAATAATGTCAATGAATTATAACAACATTAATTGGGAAATCGAATACGAAAAATTTGGGAGCATCACCTATAGCTATTTTGATACACTCTTTTGATGCATTTCTTTTTATAAAAAGTGTGAATGAGTTAATCTGGATGAGCGCTACAGAGAGACTTTCTCGAGCTAAATTTCAAATGATTCAGATACAGATGATTCAAATAGAAATTTTGTCTCTGTTACGTATATTGATTAAATACAAAACATATGCAATATCACAATATGTACACACACATACATACACACACACACACGCACGCATGCACGCACACACACACACATATACGCACTAGACATTTATCTATTTCAGCTAATTTCTATATCATATCTAAATATATCATATCTAAATTTCTGTTATGACTGCAAAACCATTTTTTGTCTTTAAACAAAAAAGGACGTAAACAGTAAAACTTGGTACTCTACAGTCAAACTTTATACTTTAGCTACACTTACTGCAGAACATTTTTTCGTAAAAAAAAATGGTTAAAAAAAACTATTTAAACACAATGAATTACAGATCTTACCAGCCCTATCAAAATTGTGAGTCATTACCATAATAAGCTTGCATAATAACTATATTATTAACTATTATTTCTATTAATTATTATTGATTATATTATTATCATCATAAGATGTAAGAATATCTAGATAAATCATGTACTGCTAATTTAGACCAAGAGTGGACCAATTTGCATAAGAGGAAAGTTATTTTCTGGGTCATTTAACTTACACGTAATTAAGACACACAAATAAACGTAAGTATTAAAACTTAAGCAGTGAGAAAATTATTCAATTACTGTCGATTATTATTGGGTTGTCTGTGGTTGATCAATTTGCTTAATACTTATGTCTTATTGCTTACGTCCTTATGTGTGCCATGGGTCTTATTTTGTTTGTAAACATCTTGCAACCACTGGCAGCTGACAATATGTGACAATATTTGGCGTAACAAGTTGCTTTCAAAGATGCTACTTCAGTTTGAAGTAACAGTCACAGCTTCAGCGTGAATGCAAAGCCGGATATACCCGAAGAAGCCACAAAGCGGGAAAACCCAAAGTACACTAACTTTCCCCTTCTTGTTAATTAAAACTTCCCCTTGTAGCATGCTCCATCTAAATATTATTATGTCGGCAGTTATTACTAAGTCCATCAATAGTGACTGTCGATTTTGACAGTTTGGTGAGCTCCTAACTTCATTGTATCTAAATAGTTCTGCAACCGACTATTTACAGAAAGAGAATCCACATAACACAACGTCTAAAATCGGGACATAAGACGTCTGAAAGACGTCTTAACCTTTTAAGGCGCATAATTCATGGAACATTCTAGTAACTTTTTTTAAATAAATAATTGTCAAAAACACTCTAAATAGCAAAAGTGGTACGTTTTAATTACCCAATCCACCACTAAGTGGTCCTTATTGGTTTTAATGATACTTGAAAAGTTAAAGATGTCTATCAAATGTCAGAATATAAGACATCCCTAAGATGTCTTTAAGATGTCTTTAAGACGTCTTATATCCCGATTTTAGACGTTATATTGTATGAGAATATTGTTTTTTTATATAAATTCTTTTAAATTTTATTTTCTAATTGTGCAGGAATAGAGTATCAGCAGAATTTGTATTGTTAAGGGACATAATAAATTTTGTAATATAGCAGACTTTATTTTTTTTTTATAAAAATATGTAACATACACACACACACACACACACACACACACATTTGCTATTAGTAATTGTCAAATATAACTGATCAAGAATTGAAAGAAAGAATTTGCTCACTATTTAATTTTTATTATTTACGTCTTTCTATGTGCTCTCCGCTTTACATTCTTGATAATTATCGAAAACGTGATTGGCCAATTCTCTCATTATTTATAATAAGTTTGGCTGCTTACGTTTTCCCATATATTATTCGCTTTATATTGTTAATAAGTGTCAAATATAATTAACTAAATCACTCACTGTTTAAGTTTTGCATCTATCAATGTGCCATTCGCTCTATGTTTTTAAAAATTGCCGAATATAATTGGCCGATTCGCACATTGTTTAATTTTTGCTGCTTACGTTTTTCTATATTCTCATTCGCTTTACATTGTCAAGTATAATTGACTAATTCGCTCATTAAGTTTTATTGTTTACGTTTTCGTGTGCCATCTGCTTTACCTAAAGACGCGGTATACAGGATGTCTGATAATTCATGACACATGAGTGTAGAATTTATCACAACACAAAATTCCCGTACCATTTGGCAAACAACCACGTAAAATTTTGAGTTATTAATTTAAAAAATTCGCGAATAATCACGCGTGATACAAAAGATGAGCTCTAATGCTGTTGTAAATTAACTCTAAAAATATTAACATGAGTAAAATTTCCCAATTTTCTAAACGTTATTGTTCTTAAAAACATGTGTTTTGTTTTTTATAATTTTTTCCAGTTTCATTGAATTGCAAGGACATTAATAGACTTATATTCCTCGGCGTTTTTTACGATTAAAGAAATTAATTTTGATCTTTTTTACGGAAGTTATGAGCAAAACGCGCTGGATAAAATTCACCTATGTTTAGAGTCTACGTAACTTTTTTCATGTTTAGGATTCTAAGATTGAGTCAAACTGGACAAAATGTTCTCTTTTGCAAATAATGCACAAACACGCATAACTCTTCTTTATTAATTCATGAATAAAAAATCTACGTGGTTATTTGCAAAATGGTAGAGGACCTTTTTATTCAGTTCAACCTAATGTACAAGCACAAACGACAACTTATTCTTCATATCATGCGTGATCACCCACCAATCCTTTTTAATTGCAAACTCAAAATTTCACATGATTGTTTGCGAAAATGGTAAAGAAAATTGGTGTCCTAAGTTTAAAGTGAATTCTATTTGCACACATGTGACCGATGTGTCAGGAATTGTCGCACAGGCACCCTGTATATTTGAACGACCGCTATTGGTGAGCGGAAGGCGAATTGGAAGCGGGATTAACTTGAGTAGAAATTTATCCAGTTTCTGACAAGGAATTTTTGGTAACTAACTAGTGTTTAGTAAGTTTTCTTAGCTAGAAACTCGACTGGTTTGGTCGACGCTCACTTCGTCAAAAATTGGACAATTGAACTAGACAGTTTCAGATCAGTTTTTAACTAGATTTTGATTAGTATCTAATCTGTTTATTAGCAGTTTTTTACTAGTTTCTATGTAGTTTTTTACTATTTTATAAGCATTTTTTATTGGTTTCTGATCAGTATCTATTTTTTTCAGTTTATTAATAGTTATAAATAATTTAATTATATAAATTATATAATTTAATTATATATTTAATTATGTCTATTTTTTTCAGTTTATTAATAGTTATAAATAATTTAATTATATATGTATCGAAACCATAATTTTATTAAAATGAAATTTTTATAATTTTTATTTTTTTAAATTTCTTTCATCTTTAATATAATATTATATTTTATTTTGGCCAGGAACTATCTCAAAGAAATTCGTCAGTAATTTCCAATTTTTTGCTGGACAGAAAATGCACAGCATTTTCTTACCATTCTTTTTTATATTTTTCTTATATCATTTTTCTGACAAATAACTGGTCCAAAAATACTGAACAGTATTTTCAGAGTTTTTACTGAGCAGAACTATCCAATATTTACTTATTATTTTTTTGCATAGTTTCTGATTAAATACTACCCAAGAAATACTGAACAGTATTTTCAAAGTTTTTAATGGACAGAAACTGTCCAGTATTTACTTACTATTTTTTCAAGTCTAGTTTCTGACTAATTAGTCATGAAAAAATAGCCAGTATTTTCTGCCAAGTTTTAAAACAGTAGCCGTCTGATTAATC